CTTGCTACTGTCGTCACTGACCCCTCTTTTGAGTCCACTGCTGCGTCTGCTCTTGTTGCTGAGCTCGTCGACTTTGCTGCTAGCTGTCGTCTAGACTACGCTGCCGGTCTTGTTGCTGAGTCTGCGTCTGTCTGTCCTCCGTCCGTCGGGGGTGAGTGTGCTCTTGGCACGGACGTCCTTGAGGACAGGCAGGAGGAGTTCCAGTGTCTGGCTGCTGCTTCACCTCATCTCGCGTCCGTACTACTTGCCCCTGAGGGAGACCCGGATGCACTAGACATCCCGACTCCGCGCTCTTACGCGGAGGCCGTAGAGGGTCCCTACTCCTCTCAGTGGCAGGCAGCTATGGATGCAGAGATGGCGTCCTGGAAGTCCACAGGCACCTACGTTGACGCGGTTCCCCCTCCTGGGGCGAACATCGTCAGTGGCATGTGGATCTTCAGGGTGAAGCGGCCGCCGGGCTCTCCACCTGTCTTCAAGGCGCGGTACGTCGCTCGTGGCTTCAGTCAGCGGCAGGGAGTTGACTACTTTCAGACCTTCTCTCCCACCCCGAAGATGACCACTCTTCGGGTGCTGCTGCACATAGCCGCTCAGCGCGACTACGAGCTCCACTCTCTTGACTTCAGCACTGCTTTCTTGCAGGGTAGCCTGCACGAGGAGATCTGGCTGCGCCGTCCACCTGGCTTCACTGGGACTTTCCCTACTGGCACCCAGTGGAGCCTCCGACGGCCAGTCTACGGTCTCCGCCAGGCACCGCGTGAGTGGCACGACACACTGAGGACTACGCTTGCGGCTCTTGGGTTTGCTCCCTCTACGGCTGACCCGTCGTTGTTTCTGCGCACCGACACTTCTTTGCCGCCGTTCTACATCCTCGTGTACGTCGACGACTTGGTCTTTGCCACAGCTGACACTGCTGGACTCGCCCACGTGAAGTCCGAGCTGCAGAAGAGACACACGTGCACAGACGTGGGTGAACTGCGCAGCTACCTTGGCTTGCAGATCACTCGGGACAGAGCACGCCGCACCATTACCTTGACTCAGTCACACATGGTGCAGCAGGTCCTTCAGCGCTTCGGCTTCACGTACTCCTCGCCTCAGGCCACTCCTCTGTCTACTCGCCACTCGCTCTCAGCTCTGCCTTCGGATGAGTCCGTAGAGTCGAGTGGCCCGTACCCAGAGCTTGTTGGCTGCCTCATGTACCTGATGACCTGCACACGACCTGACCTTGCATACCCTCTTAGCATTCTTGCACGCTATGTTGCTCCTGGGAGACACCGACCAGAGCACATGGCTGCAGCGAAGAGGGTGTTGCGCTACTTGTGCAGTACGTCGGGCATGGGGCTAGTGCTTGGAGGGCGGAGTCCAGTGGTCCTCACTGGGCACGCGGACGCTTCTTGGGCTGACGACCAGGCTACGCAGCGGTCGTCGCAGGGTTACACCTTCAGTCTTGGTTCCGGCTCTGTCTCGTGGCGGGCTACTCGCTCGTCCTCTGTTCTCGGCTCCAGTTGTGAGGCTGAGATCTACGCCGGGGCCATGGCTGCACAGGAGCTTCGCTGGCTCACCTACCTGCTGACTGACCTTGGAGAGCCGCCTCGTTCTCCTCCAGTGCTGTACGTAGATAACAAGGCCATGCTGGCCTTGTGTCGAGAGCAGCGCTTGGAGCACAGAACGAAGCACATTGCTCTCCGTTACTTTCTTGCTCGTGAGCTGCAGCAGCGTGGTCAGTTGCGACTTGCGTACGTGGCCTCTGAGGCCAACACTGCTGATATCTTCACCAAGGCACTTGCGCCTTGTGACCATCAGCGCTTCTGCACTCAGCTGGGTCTTGTACCTGTCTTGCCTCACTTGCTCTCCTCTTGACCTTGCTTGTACTGTCACATATATATACCTGCTCTTGCTTGTCTAGCTCTATATATATATGTGCACTCCTGCATGTGAACTGGCCCTGTGGCCTTGTCGTTGTGCTCGGACTGTGTGGTGACTTTGTGATCCACCCTGAGCTTGCTGTGCTTTGCGTGACTGGTCTTGTGACCCCTTGTTCTCCCCCACTTTGCCTATGGGGGTGTGTCAGAACATATATATAGCTTATGCTGTTGTGTAGGCTATAGTGGGGTATCCCATAGGGGGTACAACCCAATTAGGGTTTCCTATATGTACTCACTTCATTCATAGTTCATTCATTCTTGTTCAAATCTTCTCACCAATGACCCTTGTCACGCTTCCTCGTCCTGACTTGACAGCTGACAGCACGCACTACTCGTGGGTGGTTACACTCGCCATGCTGGATATCTGGTTCACCACAGCTTGCTTAGAAATATGATAGTTTTTGCTGAAGCCCTTGTACCAATAACTCCCGGGTATACACCCTCAGGTACTGTCTTGAAACACTCTACAGATAGGGGTATGGATGCGCAGGGAATATCGAACACAATTGCCGTCCTCCCCTGGATGGAAGTTAGTGTCGAGTTAAAAACAATATGCCTTTACTTGGGGTAGATTCTTTTAAATGAGTGTTGTGGTTATAAGGCACCTATGGGTGTGTATCCCAGGCCTCAAGATAATAGGGTGATTTACTTTCACAACACTTACTACAAGGCTGGGTTTGACTATGCACCCTTTTTTTTCAGGGTGCTTTTTTCTTAGAACCTTACGAGAAAAAGAGTTGCGACTTTGATATTACATAGTGCAACGGAACAACTCGTAATTACATTGATGGTATCAAACTAGTTATTAGGGAGTTCATAAGGATCCCTCGTGATAAGAGTAATGAGCTATGGTGCATAAAGAATACCTCGGGTATCATTGATGGTATCAAACCCTTAGAGAGAGTGAAACTAAGTTGGCCTTATGGAAAATAGCAACTCAAATCCTATTCAAAGGCCTGGTGTGTACGACTTAAGACACATATGCCTTATAAACTGTCAATTCTAAACAGGGAAGGGTTCTTCTAAACAGTTTTTTTTGGGTTTACAAGGTACAACGCCATACATTGAGATATGCCAATTCTACCTAGTAACCCTCAAATACGCCCTCGTCTTCTTCATCTGCACTATCACTAGAGGGCTCCTGCACTCTTAAGTCTGGGACATTCTAAGCATGCTTGGCCATCCTAGATGGCTCCACCAAGCGTTCGGCCTTGGCCGAAGCTCCACCGTAACAGGGTGTCTCTATGTAGGGCACCTCCAGCCCAGTTGCCACGCATACTTCCCTAACGCCGTCGGCCTGCGAATCCTCCTCCTCCTACCCAAGCAGGCGCGTGTTGTCATACGTACTCCTCTGCAGAGACATGTCTTCTGACACGTCAGTAATGTTCCTCACACGCAAGTGAGATATGACCATGCGATTCTCGTTCCCATCGGGGTGGCTCGAGATCCCGCATGTTTAAAATGCCTTGACAATAACGTCACGTGGCACTTGCTCCCACGCCTCCGCAATCCACTGCAGCACCACGTGCGGAGGCCTCTTCAAGTTCCCTGATGGGGGATGGGCAGATTCAACCGCAGAGTAAGTACAGTTGTGAAAGCGTAGGACACAAGGTTCGGATAAGTGTGGAAGGGGAGGAGATGGTAAAGGTGAGGTTGGATATTTAATTAACTCACCTCTTGGTGTCCTCAAGTTGATGCCATATTGCATGAATCACCTGCAGTAGTGGGCGCGCACCGTTGCATTGAAGCAGCGGTTGATCGAAACATCCAGGGGTTGAATCTGGCTGGTACAACCCGCGTGGATGATGACAAGGGTGATGCACTGCGCTCGATACACTTGAAGCATCCTTTTATTTATGTGCCTGCTGTATGAATCCAGCACCAGCATCGAACAATGTGTCGACTGCCCTTTCTTGGGGTTTAGGTAGGGCAACACCTCCTTGGTCAACCATGTCTTTATTGTCGTTTCATCCCCACGTGTTGTCCCGGGCTTGGTCCACAACACCCGCGGTTTCACATAAAGGAAACAAGGACGAGAACAGGGTAACAATCAAGGTAGACATTTAGATGAAAGACATGTAACTTGCCTTCATGAATATCACACTTCGGAGCATTTTTCAACTTGAACAAACACCCATAAGCGCAACTACTCTCCTGAAGCTGTGCACTCGAGCACGACAGTGAGTCTTTGCTTCTCGTAGCCAGCTGTGCGGATGAGGACAGATCACGCACCTTTGTGGTCTACGGTCCCCTCCGCCAGCATCTCCATGAACAACGGATTTTGATCCGCGTTGATGATGCACGAGAGGTCAATGTAGTGGCGTGCTCGATTGAAGTGTACGAATTTCCATAAGCCTTCATAGTCGTGAGTATACTCTACCAAGGAGACGCACAAGGGAGTAAACACAGAAAGAAACACTGAGAGAAACACAGAAATATGTTAACACAGATGGGAAGACGATAGAGGTAAACGCAGAAGCAAGGCAAAAACTCACTCTTCGACAAATTCTGACCAACCTTCGTCTTCACCCGCATTACCAGATTCCAACAATCGTGAAATTGCTGGCTCTAGTGGGAGGAGGTGTTCCAGTTCTTATCGAGGTGATGTTTCTTTATCCACTTACGGCTCCACCACTCCGTCTCCTTCACTAAGATCGGCACCCCGTTCTAGCGATGTATGCAGATGTGGCGGTACAGTGCTTCCCCCATATCGGGTGTGGAGAAAGAGATAGGCGTATGAGGTGACACCCTTTTAGAAGTAGGAGGAGGTCTCTACTATACTATTTTTGCCATGTGTTGAGCCGCCCAGTCCTCAACCCAGGGGGGTAAGAGGGGCCTCTACTATTCTCTTTGGTTGGTTGGTCATTCTATGAAGTGCATTGGCTTATTTCCCCTGCACTGCAAGGCTACTTCATTTTGAGGCACCTCGGGATTTGTGCATTGGCTTGCCTTCCTTGCCAGGGAAACAGGTAGTGCCCACTACCCTCTGCTGCCTGGAACAGCGTCCCCCGCACCCTCCCATCCTGTTGCCACTCATCCCTCCTTCCTTCACCTCTCCCTCACTCCGTCCTCGCCGTTATGTCATCCATCCGCCTATCTCTTGCCCCTCCATCTGCGCCCAACTTGAACACTCATTGCCCTCTCTCTCCCTTTCCCCCTTCCATTTTTCCTGGGTGCGACCTCTCGTCTGCTGCTCCTTGTCTTCCTATGGGACTCATGCGTCCGCAGGTGTCCTTCACAGTGCCCTTCCTGGTGCTCTACTTGCTCTCTCTACATCTGCTCTCCACCAATGCCTATCAGCTCCACATTAATCTCAACAATGCCTACAAGGGTCTCTCAAGGTATGTCCTTCCTGCTTTTGCTTTTGAGGATCCTCAGAACTTGGCTATGACCTAGTGCTTGTGCATGATCCGCCATCACATCACTGCTTGCCCGTGCAAGGCCCTGCCGTCACATCACTGCTCGATCGTGCATGGCCCTGCCGTCACATCACCGCTCGCCCGTGAAGCTATCGTCTACTAGCACTTCACAAGCTGCAAGACATGAGCCTTTGGCCATATTTCCCAGACGCACTTAGGTAAGTGTGACAGCCTATTAGAGAGGTCTTTATTAGGTGGCAATAATCTGGAGTATGAGTTCAGTTCTTCATAGTAGACTGCGAGGAGAGAGAAGGGTGAGGGGCTGCAGATAGGCAGGTAGTCCGAAAGCGTACTACAGCATGCCATCTCTCCAGCTGCCAGCATTCCTTCATGCAGTAACCAATATCAGAATCAAACAAGAACCAAACCAGAGCCGAATCAGAACCAAGACCATTCAGTTCAGGCAAACCCTCCTTTCCCCTTCAACCATCTCCTTGCTTCTTAGAGAAAACCTTCTCTGGTGCACGGCTGTCATGCTGCGATCGTCTGGCAACGAGGGTTATTGGAGGGACAAGTAGTGCTGGAGTTGCTTTTGAGAAATCTCAAAGGCCCCATCATAGTTTAGCATTCTCAAAAGCTTTCCCCTTCCACCCTCTCTCCTTGGTACACAGAGAGAGCCTCCCTTGGTGCACGCCTGCCCTTCTGCGGTCGTCCGGAAACGAGGGCTACTGGATAAATCAGCAGTGGCGGCCCCATGCATGCTGTGTCAAGCCCGTGCAGGGGTGCCAGACTATGTGCTCCGGTTATTCCACCGCAAGCAGCAGGTGCTGTTCATGGGTAGAAGGGGCTCATAGGTAGTGGAGGGGGTTGTTCATGGGTAGGGGGTTGTTCATGGGTAGATAGGGTGCTCATGGATAAGGGGGGTGCACATGGGTATGGAGGGGTGATCATGGGTAGGGAGGGCTGCTCATGGTTAGGGAGGGGTGGGTGCTCATGGGTAGGGAGGGGTGCTCATGGGTAGGGGGCTATGAGTCAGGGCTACTGGGTGGACCTGCAGTGGCGCCCCCACGCGTGGTGTGCTCGCCAGCTGCCGCTCAGCCCGCCGGTGTGCTCCGGTTCTTCCACCGCAAGCAACGCGTGCTGCTCATGGGTAGGGAGGGGTGCTCATGGGTAGGGGGGTAGTTCAGGGGCAGGGAGGGGTGCTCATGGGTAAAGAGGGGTGCTCATGGGTAGTGAGGGGTGCTCATGGGTAGGGAGGGGTGCTCATGGGTAGGGAGGGGTGCTCATGGGTAGGAAGGGGTGCTCATGGGTAGGGAGGGGTGCTCATGGGTAGGCAAGGGTGCTCATGGGTAGGGGAGGGTGCTCATGGGTAGGAGGGGAGGGGGTGCTTATGGTTAGGGGGGGTGCTCATGGTTAGGGGATGCTGCGCAATGCGCATCGGCAGGGGGGGCTGTAAACGAGAATGCTATATGGCCCTGAGCCACACAAAATACTGAATCCAGCTCGGCTGGGCTCAGCTTAGGTGGTTCAAGTCATTAGCCTATTCCAGCTCAATGCAAGCCGACTCGTCTTGACCTGTTGCTCGTGCTGTGTGGTGCTGGTGGGTTATGCCACTTGGTGCCTATGTTGTTCTGCTTGAACCCCCTCTTCTGTCACACCCTCCTGTGCCACACCCTCCTTTGTCACACCCTCCTGTGCCACACCCTCCTTTCTCACACCCTCATGTGCCACACCCTCCTTTGTCACACCCTCCTTTGAGTACCGTGAAACAAGTTGGTTCTTTGAGGATTCTCAACCACTCTGCTGCCACACAACCCTGTGCACACTGTGTCTACCGTAAATGTCTTGTATTAGCTGTTCCTTCCCGTGCCTCTTTCCATCCGCGTCCCTGTGTGCCCAGCCCACCCTATTGCTCTCCTAAATCCAACCTCCGTTGCAACCATCTCTGCCTGTCTGCCCGTGTGCTGCCCGCTGTATCTGCCCCGCACAGTGCTTCCACGGGCTCTACGGCTTTCTGCAGGTTTGGAGCCTTTTGAGTTATACAAAACTCATCACTGACTTGCGAGTCAACTCAAACCATGTGCCGCCGTATCTACCCTCCCCTGCACAGGGTTTCCACGGGTTCCATGGCTTTCCCCAGGTGTGGAGCCCCTTCAATGGCAGCGAGGGGAGTGGGTCCGAGCAGCTGTTGCCGAAGCCAGTGTACAGGCCACATCTGGTTGACACCGTGTACTATGGCTCGGCTTACAATGGCTTCGTTCGCACCAGGTGAGGTGAGGTGTGGTGAGGGTGTGAGCCTGGGGCGCTGGACGCCACACTCAACGTGGAGAGGAAGCGAGGGGAGAGGAGGCGAGCAACTATTGCAGCAACCAGTGTACAAGCCACATCTGGTCAACACCGTATTTCACGGCTCGGCTTACAACAGCTTCGTGCACATGAGGTGATGCGGGGGTGAGGTGAGCCAGGGGCGAGGTGAGCTTGGGGTGAGGTGAGCCTCTCTCGCCCTCTGCTATCCCATTTCGGGTCTTCAGTTTCACTCTCAATGAACGATGCACCTCCCGTTGCCTTGCCCCTCCCAGGGTCAACGTCACCAGGTGTGGCAGGGCCTTTGTGTTCAATCTGACGTACGTGGCACAGATGGGAGCGACTCGGGAGGTGCTGCCAGCGTGGATGTTCAACATGAGTATCCTGGGATGCGAGCTGCCCAGACACACCCTTCCAACTTGTCGCCCTTGGTGCCTCCCTGCACGACCTCACCACACTCAACTCAACACGGGGCTTTCGAAGAACTGCAAGTGCATGGAGAAAGTTCTGTAGCCTTTTTTTTTTTTTTTTTTTTTTTTGTTGTTGGAAGTATCTGCTGTGCAACTCACATGAATTCAGAGCATCTCCACTCTTCCACAGTTTCGTGTGCAGCTGGTGTTCCTTTCATGCTGTTGCACTCCTACTCCTTCCACAGTCGTGTGTCAACTCTCTGGCTCGCACCTGCTGCTTACTCGTGTGCGCATGCATGCCGCCACCCACATGTTCCTCTCCTTGCCTTCTCATATGATCTGTGCTGTGCTCCTCATGTCTCTCCTCGGCCTCTCAGACTCGCACTTGCTGCCCAGCATGTGCTGCCACTTGCGGGAGGCAGAGAGAGGGGGTGACTTTTGAGGCGCCTCAAAAGCCATTTCATGTGCTCTGTGCTGTGCTTCCCATGTTCCTCTCCTTGGCCTCTCAGCCCTGCACCTTCTGCCCGGCATGTGCCGCCACTTGCAGGACGCGCACCAGGTGGCCTTCTTTGGCCTGTGGGCAGCGGGAGAAGACATCAAGCTGTGCTGGGTGATTGACAAAAGCAACAACGTGCGTGGCATAGCCTTTGAGGACGAAGCTTCTATGTGGGTGGCACTTCAGGAGAAATTTTCATAAGTTTTCAGGTGGGTGGCACTTCAAGGTGGTTTTCAGGTGGGTGGCACCTCAGAAGGAAGCTTTCGAGTTGGTGGTGCTTTTGCAGCATGTCACTCACCTCGTGTCTGACTCTCATTGTTCCAAACTGAACCTCGTTGAACCACAATCAGACATTACTCCACACCAGTGCACACAATTTCAACAGCAAGTGACTGAGCATGATTAAGAGCAGAGAAAATATTGACAAGGTGGTGAGAATGCCATCTTCTTGTTTCAATACCATCTCCCTTCTGAACTTACTGATCATGTGACATGGTAGAAAACAGCAAGTCTTTCCTGTGATCTTCTGTTTTCACAGGAAAGACTTGCTGTGATCTTCTAACCTCCTATTTGACTCCTCATTTGTTTTTCCATGTCAGGCTGCTCCCACTCCAAGAGTTTTGAGAGATTTGTGCCAATGAACTCCGTGAGGCTTCCTCGTCCTGACTTGTCACCTGACAGTACACACTACTCATAGGTAGTCGCCCTTGCCATGCTGGATATTTGGTTCACCACCGCTTGCTTAGAAACAAAACGATTTCCATTGAAGACCCTGCACCATAACCCCTTAAATATACAGCCCCAGGTGCCTCAAAACGCTCTAGAGAGAGGGGCATGGTGTGTTTCATTATACATATCACTAGAACCAGACTTCTAAATGCAACAGCTAGTGAAGGTACCATCTTGGGTTCCTGCAACAGCTAGCGAAGGCTGCGACACATCCGATATGGTAAGGGCGTTCGCCTGTGGCGACGACTAGGAGACGAGGAAAAAGGTGACATCCCTCCAAGCATTACCGCCATGCGCACCGCCAGCAGCAGGCAAAAACACTGGAATTCTCATTCGGGCTCCGATATGACCCATTTGTAACCCAGAGTCTGCAGTGTATCCGCGCCGCATCCTGGCTTGAGGCGATCGTTGCTGGCATCCCCGTCAGCGAGCCACCTCCGCTTCCCCTGCCAGACAGAGCCACAAAGCGTGCGATGACGACATGCATGAGAGGCGCGAGGCACGGCGACGCAACGAGCCGCATGCGCCGTCTTGAATTCGTGCGGCGGCCAAACGACTGCCTTGTTCGTAACAAGCTGGAACGTCATCCTTCGAGGTGCAATCCGGAATCTTGCGCAACAAGGAACTACCAATCAACTCTACACGTCCTTACGAGCTTGACTTTAGTCAGCCTCTATAAAAAGGTCTGTAGCTGAGGGCGACGATACTCGGATACGACGTCTTTAGGTTAATCTCCTAAGAACCGAAGTAGCTGATACGCCAAGCGAATTGATATTCCTGACCACATATTTCCTGTGCCCCGCAACCCCTTATATCAACAACGATGCTCGCTTCTGTGTTTACCCGCCGCTCTCTCCGCAACTCGTGCGCGTGGCTACGCCCCGTGGCGGGACCTCTTCGCTTCCAACCTTCCGTGCTAGCTCCAAGTAGCGGGGCTGATGGGTTGCGACACGTGAACGAGAGTGTTACTAGGGTCGATGCGGCGCGCGGGACGCGCTCCCGTTTGTATCACAAGAACGTGGTGGATCATTACAATCACCCGCGCAACGTGGGCGCGTTCGACAAGCGCGATCCAGATGTCGGCACGGGATTGGTGGGCGCGCCGGCGTGCGGCGACGTGATGAAGCTGCAGATTAAAGTCGACGCGGAGGGGAGGATCGTCGACTCGTGCTTTAAGACCTTCGGATGCGGCTCCGCTATTGCGTCGTCTTCCCTAGGTGAGCTAGTGCGGCCTGTCTTAACCAAGTTCCAGATTACCGAGTTTTCAATTTCAAAGCTTCAAAGGAAGCACTGAGTTGAGCCTTTGCTTCGTGGGTCTTTAGGTGCGAGTAGTCTAGTAGCTGCTCGTGTGCACAGCACATGGCAGTCGCAGTTATAGCTGCGGAACGAATTCCTGGTAAATTGTTTGCTCGTTTGTTTCTTTTGTTTTTTTTCCTCTTATGGCAGCCACGGAGTGGGTGAAGGGCAAGCATGTCGACTCGGTGCTCAAAATTACGAACAGGTGATCCACACAAGCATGTCTCCTCGATTCTTATTCCCTGCTCGCTGCCTTGGGCCCTTCACCCACTCCATGGCTCCCTGCTCATTGGCTCTTTGGGGAGTGCCAGGGGGCTGTCTAAGGCCTCGACCTACTGTTTTGGTTAAGAACTATGTTGATGCCGTGTGTGGAACGTGTCTGTTTGGTGCGTTACCGCAGAGTTGGTACTGTTTTGGTTAAGAACTAATTGAACGCGTTGGTACTTCTCTGTGGTCTAACCCCTTATTTCTCTCACCCACCATGTTTTTTTTTTCTCCTCTCAGGGACATTGCGAGGCACCTGTCGCTGCCCCCTGTGAAGCTGCACTGCAGCATGCTGGCTGAAGATGCCATAAAAGCAGCCGTGCACGACATCAAAACCAAGAGGCAGCAGCAGTAGAGGCAGCACGAGCAGAAGCAGGAAGCAGCAGTGAAGAAGCAGTGAAGAAGCAGTGAAGCAGCAGCAGTGTAATTGGTACCTGTTACCCTCCACAAATGTAGCCCGCACTGCAGCATGCACGATATCAAGGTGAAGCGACAGCAGCATTAGAGGCAGCACGGGCAGAAAGAGTGAGGGGATGTAGACGCTGTGAAGGAAGGGTTGAAGCAGCATTACTAGGGACCTGTGGCATCTGTTTCCCCTCGCAAATAGAACCTGCACTGCAGCATGCTGCTGGCTGCAGTTGCTATCGTGATAGCTGTGACCGATATCAAGGTGGAGAGACAGCAGGTGCAGAAGCAGTGAGGGAGCATTACAACATATGAAGCAGTAGTGAAGGCGGTAGAGGCAGTGACGGATGGAAGTAACAAGGTGGTAATGTGGGAGTGCCAGTAGCAGCGAGCTGTGTTTCTGCTCATTGCAGGTTTGGGGATTCTCTTGCAAAGCTCAGTTGGTTTCTGACAATACTGCATAATGTTGTACAGAATGCATATTTTGTACATAGTGAATGCAAGCTTTTAGATATCTTTACCACGCCCTGCTGCAATTTTGCCACCACTAGCTCCACAAGTTCGAACGCCTTGCAAAACAGTTTGATTCTGCAATGAAGTTGCTGTCTTATTGTACTGAACGTTGGGGAATCATAAACTCTAGGAAAGGGCTGCTGTGGTGATGCCTTGATTGATTGCACAACGAGGTCACTTGCAAGAGAAAGAACTCACCATAGCATGTGGCCATGGTTATACATGACCACAAGCCACATACATCTAATTTACCTAACCTAACAAGGGCAGAAACACCTGCCCATGCAAGACATCACCAGGAATTCGCTTCCTGGCTACTGTCCATGCCACAAGGCGAACCACTCTCACCACCCAACCTCCTCCTCTCTCTCCCCTTCTCACTGCGTCCCAACCTTCCCACCTCCCGCCCTCCCTTCACCCTCCCTGTTTTCACCCCATCCCCGCCACTCAACCTCCTCTTCCTCCGCCGCCGATACGCCCACATCACATGCGGCAGGCCCCACGTTGCCACCACATCGCCCTCTATTTCGTCCGCAGGACTGTCCCCCTTCTCACTCCCCTGCCCCACACGACTCAATCCCTCCTCACCCTCCCCCTCCCCTGCACCCTCCTCTTGAAGCACCCCCACACCGCCCCCACCCTTGCCTGTTTCTGTACCCTCCTTCCCCTCTCTTTCCCCATCAACCCCATTGGGGTTCGTAACAAACACCCTCCCTGCTGCATTGGAAGCTGGCAACAACTCCTCGTCATCAGCATCGCCCTCATTCTCACCCCTTGCATCCTCATCCCCTTCACACGTCTCCTCATCCCCCATCCCCATACCACTGGATCTCTCAGAACCACCTCTCACCGCACCATCACAGTCCACATCACCATCACTGTCCTCCATACTGCCATTCCCAAATTCCTCGCGCCGTTCCCTCTCTTCCATCCCATTCCCATTCCCAATCCCAATCTCACTCCCACCCACTGCACCCACGCCCACCACACTGCCCTCAACTCTCACAGCAGCAACCACAGGCACAGCCCCAGCCCCATCCCTTCTCAACCCACAGCTCCCATCATCTCCCACTGGGCCAGACTCATCCCCCACAGCAGCCTGCCCACCCACCAGCAGCAGAGTAGGATTCGGGGTCTCAGATCCCTCTGGCATACCTTCATAAGGCAGGGTTTCCGTCCCCATTCCACTTTCACATGTGACTCCCTTCTTCTCCCTCTGCCTCCCTTCCACGCCACCACCGTTACCATCAACACCTCTGCTGTCATTAGCGTCTGGCTCACCTCCCACTGTTTCCCTAGCTGCTCCAGCCAGAGAAGTATTTGCACAAAGTGCCCGCTCCTGCTCGTGCAAAGGTGAATCCGCCTGCTCCTGTTGCTGCTTCTGTTGCTGCTCCTGTGCTGGAATCACCCCCAGCTGCTGCTGCACCGCCAGCACTTGTGATGCGGAGAGCAGCTGCGTGGGGGGCAGCTCCTGTGTTTGCAGCGCCCTCTGAGACTCTGCCTGAGACGGCTGCTGTGAGGGCTGCTGGGATGCGCCAGGCACTTGCGACTGTGACTGCCGCTGGGAAGGGTTTGGGGTTTGTGAGGCGCAACCAGTGGGTGGTGACAGCAACGGCCCTTCTGACCGGTACTGACTTTGTGACTGAAACTGCCCTGCTGACAGCTCTGGCCCCGGTGACAGCTCTGGCCCTGGTGACTGTATTAGCCCTTGGGAGTGAACCTGCCCTTGTGACAGCAGTTGAGTCGCCACCTGTGTCTCTGTCTGCCCTGGCACTACAGCTGCTCTCTGCCCATGCGTTTCCAAACAACCCTGCGTCTCCGTGTGCCCTTGCGTCTCCGTTTCTGTCTCGGCTTCCAACCGTGCTCGTAAGGTAGCACCAGCATCACCCTTCCCAGGGCTAATTCTCTTTCCCTTCCCCACAACCCCTGCCACCCCCTCCTCTTCTCCTTGCCCTGCTGCTCCGTCCCTCTCCAACCCCTCTTCCCCCTCAGCACGCTCCCCTGTCTCCTCCTCTCCCCATGCCGTGAACCCTTCTTCCAGCACCCCTCCTCGTCCAGGCGACTCACAGGTCTCGTCCAGCATCCCTCCTGAGAACCCCTCCAGCTGCCCTCCTCGCCCCCCACTGTACTCCTGCGTCTCTGCTTCCATCAGCTCCTCCAGCCGCTCATCCAACGGCCCACCTTCTCTGTTCAGCTCATCAAGCCGACCATCCAACGGTCCACCTCTGTTCAACTCGTCAAACTGATCATCCAATGAACACTCCTCCGTCTCTCCATTTCCTCCTTCCCCTTCCTCCCCTCCCTCGCCCCTCCCCCCGTCACCCACTCCACCACCAAATCCCCTCCCATCTTCTTCCATCTCCCTCATTCCCACTCGTCCCTCACCACCCCCGTCCCCCTCATCCCCCCTAAAGAGCTCCCGCCGAACAAGCAGCAAACCCTCCCTTTCCTCGACCCTCTCCTCTTCCCTGGCAGCCACACTCCCCTGTACCACACCACGTGCCTCAGCGTCCGCACAAGGCACCTCACCGTCTACAGGGCAAGTATCACCTCCCCCAACCACTCCTCCCACTCCTCCCACCACTCCCTCTCCCACGTCGGCTTCTTGAGTCATCTCCTCATCCTCCTCCTCTCCTCCCTCCTCCTTCCCCTCTGCCCCATCCAGCCCCTCACCGGCCCTCCCCCCAGCCCCCACCTTCCCCTCCCCTTCCCCATCCTGCAGTACTTGAAACATGCGCGTCAGCTGCTGCTGCTGCTCCAGGTGCGCTCTCAGCATCTGCTGCTGCAGCTGCTGCTGCCGCTGCTGCTGCGCCTGCTGCTGCAGCTGTGCGCGCACCACCTGCTGCTGCAGCTGCTGTTGCGACTGCCCTAAAGCTGTCTGCTCCTCGTGTGCCTGCTCCATCTGCTCCTGCAAGCATGCAATGTGGTTCGCTGTTTTCTCGAATTCCCTCTTTTGAGCGTCCCTGCTAAACGCGCACAGGCAAAGCAGAAAGCAGGGAGGAGGGGAAGGGAAGTGATGAGGAGGCGGTGGGTAAAGGAGAGAGAGGGGAGGCGAGCGGATACAGGCAGGTGAGTGGAGAACCAGAGGAGATAGGAGAAGAAGAGAACGTGGGCAAGGCAGCAACATTCATAAACCGCCGAAACCCTACACCCCATACTGTGCATCATACGTACCGCAGCATGATGCGCTCCCGTGCGCCCTGCAACCGCCTCTGCTCCACTGACAGCCGCATCTGCACCTTCCGAAGCTCCCCTGCCACGCCACAGGCTCGGGCCTCCGAAGCTGCCAGCAAGTTCTGGAAGAGGTTCGGAGAAAACAGCCACAGGAACACACAGAAATACATCCGGAAGAAGCTGAGAGTATGGCTGACTTGACATAAGGGGAGTGCATGGAGGGCAGTGGAAGGAAGGATGTGTAACTGTAATTCGTCACGCATTATCCAATAACGAAACCAAGCATGCACAACCGCACCTGCAGCTGAGCCGCTTCGGCCTCCTTCCCTGCAAGAGAAGCCCCCATGGCAGACGCTCGTTGCTGCAGCAGCACAGCTCGGCCCCTTTCCTCCTCCAGCAACCCCTCCGCCCTCCTCGCCCTCTCGTGTCCCGCCACCACTGCTGCCCGCTCGCCCTCCTGTCATGCAGCATGTGTACACACGGGACGCGCAGAGGCCAGGGAGGAAGAGAAGCGAGGCGAAGGGGAGAAGGCAAAAAGGCAGAGAGTATGGAGAGAGGTGGTGAGGGAGGACTAATGAGGGTAGCAAGAGCATCATGGTGGGTTGAAGATGCAGTTTAGAACATCGCTACAACATAAAGATGAGGGAAGCAGCAGGAGTCTCACCAGCTTGGCAGAGAGCGAGTCAATGGCTGCCTGCCTCTCCTCGTTCATAGCCTGCAACGTCAAGGTGAAGGAGAACGAGAGAAAGGTGAGAAACAGCGCGAGATAGATGTGCACACACGGCATTGACGTTGACAAAGAGAAGAGAGACACAAGCAGTGGCATCAGTATGGGCATGCCCAAGGCTGTAAGTAAACGAATTCCAGCAAGCCGGGTTGGTTGTGACACGGACCGTCATACCACTCACCACGAGAGCAGCAACCCTTTCTTGGAGCTCGTTCACCGCCCTCTGCGACCTCTCTGCAGCTGCTGCTGCCTCTGCTGCTGCGGCTGCCTGCACTCGCTCCACTGCGGCTTGCCTCTCCGCCTCCATCTCCCTCCTCTCCCTCCCCCTCTCCTCCGCCTCCCTCTCCCGCTCCCTCCATGCCCTCTCCACCTCCGCTTGCAGCCTGCACAGCAGATAAAAAAAACAGCGCAAAGGACGTGGGGGAGAGGACATGAGACTACACAGGACAACTGGAATGACTGAATGTGGTACTATGGGAATTCCCAACTGCACACTCTTCACCCGACTCACCCTGCTTTCGCAGCTTCGGCCTCCGCCCGTGCCTTCCTCTCAACAGCCAATCGCTCGCCGACACCTGTCAGCTCCTCCTGCAGCCGCACCACCTCCCCCTCCGCCTGCTCCTGCTTCCTGGCTGCGGCGTCTCTCTCCCTCTGCGCCTCCTGCACGCGCCCCTCCCACTCCTGCTGCACCTCCATGCGCGCACTCACCACGCCCTGCCATGTGAATTGCAGGGTGGGTAGGGGCGACACAGAAACAACACTGAAAGTGGCTCCAGGAAAAGACGAGGTGTGAGGAGATAGTGCCCTGTGTCTGATAGTCCCTTGTGACTTAACCCACCCCATGCCCATATGCATCACTCCCTCGCTCCTGTGTCACACTCTCTGCACCACTGGGTGAGTGTGCCCATCCTAAACCCAACGCACACTCACCTCCTCATGCCGTCGCTCCTCCTGCTGCCGCTGACTCAGCATCTCGTCCATCCTCGCCGCCTCCGCGTCCAGCTGCTGCCGGAGCTCCTCATTGGCCCGCCGCAGCTGCTTCATCTCCTCCAGAATCGCCACGTCAGCAGCAGGCAGTGCCACCTCAGCAGGTGAACCTGCTGCAGCAGGAGCAGCACCCGGGACAGCAACAGGCATGACTGGAGCGAGGGCAGCTCTGCCACTGCCTGGCACGGATGCCCCAGAACCTGCCCCAGAACCTGCCCCAGAACCTGCCCCAGAACCTGCCCCAGAACCTTCCCCAGCATCAGCAGAACTGTCAGGAGAAACCGAGCTCGGAACAGCACCCCTTGACCCTCGTCTCCGCTTCGGAACCCTACCCGCTGCCATCCCCCCCTCGTCTGGACCCACTGCTACGGCCTCTGCTCCCAACCCCGATCCTGGGAGCGGTGGGGGCGAGTGCATGGACAGTCGGCGCGCTGCTGCAGGGGAGGAGCGCGGGGGAGGGGGCAGCATCTGGCCTTTCACAGAGGGGGACGCCGCAGGGGTTGTCGTGTGACTGGTACCTGCCCCACGTGCCATTGGGCTTGCATCTAACGCCATGGGGCACGGATTAGAGCTCAAGGCCTGAGCCTTCCGCTTCACCAGCACTGTTGCTGGGTCTGCTCCGGCTGCGCCCTCTCCTTGCTCCCTCTTCACACTCACGCCGCGCATGGCGCCACTGCCTGCTCCCTCCTTAACTGCCGCTGCGCGCCTGCCTGGAAATTTCCCTGCGGCAGCAGGGGAGTGCAGTCCCCTAGCAGCAGCAGCAGCAGCAGCAGCGCCATTCGCAGCAGCAGGAGAAGCAGATGGCATGGGTGCCCCTTCCACGCGCAAGAAGACAAACGTGTGAGCGACCTCTGCACCGCATGGGGACAAGGTGAAGCACACACACAAGGACAATGTTATGGGCGCCTCAGCAGTCAGCACGTAGACGAAAAAAATCAGATGCAGATGGGTAAATGTGTGAGGGCGGAGGGGGTGATGACAGAGCGACCACATTACGCAGGATAAACGTCTGCATCAGCCGCTCCCACCACTGTATCTGCCGCCCACGCAACTGCATCTGCCGCCCACACACCTGTCTCTGGTGGCCCCACGAGCGACAGCACATCGCCATGCTTAAGCTGCTGGGGGGGTCCGTTCCTCTGCAGCCGAGTGCCATTAATGAACGTGCCGTTGGAGCTGGAAGGTGCGGCAGAGGGAAGGAGAGCACTAGGTGAGGGAGGGTGAGAAAGAGACTACTGATGCCTCAGCTGATGGGGGGGTCCGTTCCTCTGCAGCCGGGTTCCGTTGATAAGCGTGCTGTTGGAGCTGGAAGGCGAGGGAGGTGCGGGAGAGCAAAGGGGCGAGGGAGGTGCGGGAGAGCAACGGGGCGAGGGAGGTGCGGGAGAGCAACGGGGCGAGGGAGGTGCGGGAGAGCAACGGGGCGAGGGAGGTGCGGGAGAGCAACGGGGCGAGGGAGGTGCGGGAGAGCAACGGGGCGAGGGAGGTGCGGGAGAGCAACGGGGCGAGGGAAGGAGAGGACGTGAGTACTGATGTAGCCATGCGTGGACTCAACTCAACGTATGAGCAGCAGCAAACATACGGAAAAAAAGTCGTGAGTGCAGGACAAGCGGCATGCAGCCAGTGAAGTCACACACCTCGTGTCCTTCACCACGACGACGAACGCCTGTCTGCTTCCTCCATCCCTCTCAGCTCCTGCTTCTGCCCTTCCTCCCGCAGTTTCCCCCGCTACTAACCCTCCTGCTTCTCCCCTTCCTACACCCACTCTCGCTCCTGCTGCTTCCTCCACCCCAGAAGCCGCTTCTCCCTGGGGGGGGGGGCATGCCCCGCCCGCCTGAGGAGGGGCAGAGGGTTCCCCAGCGGGAGCGGGAGGCTGGGGGAGGCAGGAGATGGTGCAGTGGCGCGCGGAGACGGAGGGGCTGGCGAACTGGAAGGGCGGAGGCACCTGGCGGCCCAGCAGCGTGTCGCGATTCACCAACGGGATGAGCGGGCCCTGCATGCGATGGTCCATGGAAGACCTAGAATTAGCCTGGGACGATGACAAGGTTACAGCTTTTTGGATTAAAACAACGGGCTGTTGTTGCATATTGTAGGAGCGGTGCAGGTGAACGGGGAAGGCTGACGTGGCTTCCATGTGGTGGCTGGCGTACCTTAGGTCGCTGCTTCGCGTTTGCGTTAATTCCGTGGAGAATTCCCCACTGGCCACGTATGTAACACTTCGGCGACGATTTCGCCAGTTCTTTCGCGAGCTCGTACGGTGAGACCGGCGGCGAGGACGAGCACGACGGAACCCCCGCCGTTGGTGCTGCTGACGTGGCAGGCACCGCAGACCCTGGCGGTAGTTCCGGTTCATTCGCCATCCTCGCTAACAAGTGATCTAATATATGCCTACTACCTCGCGCTGGTCCGGCTATCAATCCTGGAATGCTTACGGGTGATGCTTCTATAACCGGCGTTCTGGGTTGTCGGAGAACGTTCGGGCGCGATGCTATTCTGCTGAAAGGACTTGATTCATGAGCGTCGACCAACTGGCGTGACTGATTCGGGAAGCTATCGTCCGATGCTGATGGAAAAGAAGAGGAAGCAAACGGACGACGATAAAAAATGGCCATGATTTACACTAGACAGGCGTTTTTGCTCTACTGCGTCGCGTGAAACAGTCCTGTGCCAAACTCGCACTCCTTTGAAATACATGGTAGGTCACTTTCAGAAATCCAAGAAAGAGGCGTCAACAAGCATGCGGAAATAGCGTCAAAGTGACGGAGAGCGAGAGGCTTCAGGGAGACGCTACACGAAGCACGCGGAAGTGTGGCTTGCACTTCTGCTGATAGGTGAGAGATGTCAACAGCTGGGTGGGGAGAACTGCGATGACTTCAAGTTGCGGAGGAAATGCTAGTGGTTGCCCGTGAATCGCAGAGAGTGGCTGGTGTCAGGAGTCGTAACATTCATGAAGATCCCGTGGCGTGAAGCTAACGTCACAATTCTTTCCCGCCAATTTTTGGGTGCGTTGTGGAGTGGAGATGTACAAAATGTAATCTGAAGGTATAAACTGGCTTTCAAAATTCTTGTTCTGTTTTTTCCTAACGAGGATGCAATGCGCTCGTGTGGGCCTCCGCCACCTGGACGAGGCAAATCTTTCCAGTATCTCCAGCTTGGAAAGTTGTGCTCTCCGCCAATACCTAATTTCCACCTCTCACTAGCTGGTAGCGAAAAGATGACCAAGTAGCATTGTGACACAATCGAGGGCGGCTACTAAGTGTAATCGGCCTATCTGCGGGGCGAATTTCGGGGATCTCCAGGTTCCTAGGCCAGAGGCAATCTGTTTCACTGATCGACAATTTCGAGGTTCACTCAAATCAGGAATCAATCCTTATTCCGCTGACCTTGAGGAAGAACCAGATAGCTTGAGGTGATAGCTTCCAGAAACTCTTTCAGGAACCGAGTTTCTGAATCGCTGTTTCCTGACTATCAACCATGGCTTGCACAGCGTCGACCTCCGCTTTCTCGTGCACATCAGTCGTCGCATTGACGCCACAAAGCAGCGCGACACGGTATGCCGAATGCGGTTTTCTAGAAAGTTTGGAGACACTCTATTCTCGTTAGCAGCCTTCACTCACGTATTGCAAGTAGTAGACCAAGCACACCCGCCGTCTCATCAACTCTTCTTCCATTTCCCGACCTGCAGGACCGCTGCAACTCTCAGCTGCAAGAACGTGTTCGGCAGCAGCCTTCGCCTGACAAGCCGCGCGCGGGCTGCGAGGCCTCAGTCGCAGCGCCGCGTTGCGGTTGTGTCGCCGCGAGCGGTGGATATTCTGACGTGGGACGAGGCGAAGGAGGCGGTGGATAAGGACGGGTACACCATCGTGGACATCCGTGACATCACGCAGTACGATCGCGCCAGGATTCCCGGGAGCATTCACATTCCCGCGTTTATCCTAAACACCGACAATGACGTTGGTATGTGAATGGCCTTGCGTGGTCCCTGCCGAAGCGTATGATGCTGCACTTGCAGAATCCAAATCCCTCCAATGCGTTTCATCCATCAACGTTGGTGCCATTACTCGAGTTCAACTCTTCCCGCGCATCCCCTTCTCTCCGCCAGGAACGATGATCCGACGGGCGGCTCACACGAGCATGCCCGGCAATCTGTACGGCCTGGCGTTCACCAAGCCCAACCCGGACTTCATCTCCACCATCCGCTCCAAGTTCTCCTCGCCTGACGCCAAGATTCTCTTCGTGTGCCAAGAAGGCCTCCGGTAAGATTATAAGTACATAATTAGTAATCGTTCTGCTGCAAATGTTCCTCGACGGAAGGCGAGGACGAGAGCGAAGAAATTGGTCCCTAATTGCAAACCCTTGGTTTCCCTAATATGTGAAAAGAAAATCAATAGTAATTTACCATTTCAGGCTTTCAATTGAGCCTTGACTTTGCCACCTTCATCCGCCACTGTTCCCCAGCTCGCTGTCTGTGGCGTCGGACCTGGAGAGGCTCGGATACACCGACATTGTTGTCACGGAGGGCCTCAACAAGCTCAAGCCAGGTGAGCAGCGTTTTCCTACAACCTAAGAATGGCAAACCTATCAGGACGAAATTTTAAATTACGAGCCACTGAATACCACGAATTTCGTGTGTCTTAGCCTTGATGTTGTTCGGTTTAATCTCATTTTGCATGTGCCTTCCATCTACTCAATTTGCTGCAGGAGTGTTTCCCAAGGAGGGCGAGAGGGAGCTTCAGAACGCAGGAAAGGGAGGGTTTGTTTCCATCCAGAAGGAATTCTCCATCATTCTCGGGTCTATCCTCATCTGTGAGTACCATGGCCTTCGCTGCCTTCCATTGCACTGAATGCGTTTGCTGATGTCACTCTGACACATTCATGGTAGAGCAATTGTTGTTTGTCCATACCTGGTATCCCCTTCCCTGTTGCCTAATGTTTCTTGTCCTCTCATAGATAGGCCCTCTAGTGCACTGCATGTGTCGCTTGCCTTCAACCAATGTCCCTGCCACATCCCTGCAGGCGCTATTCTCTTCCTCAAGTTCTTCCCAGAGCAGGCTGAGGTCATCTTTGGCGGCCTGTAAGGCTCTCTAAAACAGTGCGTTGCAGCTGGTTCTGCTCTCACCTTAGACTTGTAACGTACTAGGAGATTATGTTTATACTGAAGCAATGTACCCTATTCCGCTTAAAGCCTTCTGTCAACAGCACTTGGCAGCCCACCTGAAACGTAACACTACCATATGATCGGAAACAATGCAGGAATGCTCTGCATATGTACATCTTGGACCAAATGCAACTGTTCCAAATGCAGGAGGTGTACCTATATTGGCATTTATTAATGTGCACAAACACCGAAGCCACCGAAGGGGCTGCAGTCCACTGATCTCATCGCTCGCCAAGGAAATGTCCGTGTAGTGTAGCGTAGCCCGCAAAGCGAGTCATTTCCCAGTCCCGAGTAAGGCAGAACTCCCTGGGGGAAAGTTGGGGGATTTTCGCGGGAACGAATACAGTACGTGCCTTGAGATTTTGAGTGGTGAAACGGTATCGTCTGGTGCTTTACGGTGCTAGTGGTTAGCTGGAACACTCCACTTTTACCTCGTAACACTCCCTGACTTATCAGGCAGGGAACAATCTCCCAGGTGTGGGATGTGATTTGGGACTGACTTCGCAGCGCGCTGCAAACCCGCTAAAAACATTCGAACCGTGTTCAACCATATTCGACCTTCACACATCCAAAAATCCTCCCGTGTTCCCTGTACACCAAGTCTGCACGTTCAAAGAATCACGAACTGCTTCGCCGTCGCCACAAGCATGCACGAAAACCTTTCGCAACCCTCAGCACTCAACGCGCCTTCTGGAAACCCAGTTTCACAGCAGAAGTTACATGGAGAGAATTGCTCCAAGGCCTTGTTTGGTGATTCGCTCTTGCCCACGTGTCCCCTAATTGCTCGCGTGGCCATCGAATTCAGTGATAATTGCTCGAGTGGCCACGCCAGGGGATTTTCGAGGTGTTTTTTTTCCCCGGCACATTACCCTACAAGGAATTCAGCCCCGAAAGTCCTCTCACATACTCGTCTCATCCCGCGCAAGCGTTGGGGACTATTCCCCACTCGAAAATTTCGTCAGGGTGGGCGGGCGCGAACGTGGCTCACTCGCTGTATAGGAAACCGACAAATAATCACGACCAAAAGTATATGTGCGCCCAATTTCGGCCCAATGCGCGACCAATGAGCGCTCGGTCAAACGAATTCGTAACCAATAAGCGCTCAAGCATATAAATCCGTGATCATATAGGTAATTGAGCGGTTTCATTTATCCGAAATTTATTATGAGGACTTTATATGACCGTATATGATTGGACGTGCAGTGTCCAAGTATGCCCCGCGCATAAAACGGACTAATCACGAAATGTCTAAATATGATTGGTCCGTTTTATGCGCAGGGCATATTAGACATTGCGAAATTTTCGAGTTGGGAATAGTACAGAACGTTTGCGCGGGATGAGACGAGTACGTGAGAGGACTTTCGGGGCTAAATTCATTGTAGGGTAATGTGCCGGGGAAAACAAAACACCTCTAAAATCCCATGGCGTGGCCACTCGAGCAATTATCACTGAATTCGATGGCCACGCGAGCAATTCGGGGACACGTGGACAAGAGCGAATCACCAAACAAGGCCCTAGAGCAATTCTCTCAGTTACATGAGACCACGGCAGTTCGCTAAACCATGACTCGAGCTTCTCCTTCTGGCTAATGATGGGTTTACACCTCTATCGTCGCTCCCCTCTACCGCCGCTGCTGTCACGCCCAACCGCGCAGATCTCGGATCGCGGTCCTGGGGTGTCCAGGACACCCGAACTCTGGACACCCCGCACGTTGGTACCACGTGCTAGCAACATGCCCGCTCACACACACGTCGCAGGGCTGCCAATGTGCACTCCTGCGACACTTTTGCACGACCCGACTTCGCATCCGTTGGATCGCGCGCGAATTTCATTGGTACACGAGTACAGGTGTACAGTGGGCGGGGTCTACCCAAGCGACAAGGGGCACGTGTTGCCTGTGAAGAAATGAGGAATGAATGGAAGGAGGATAGTTTCACTAGCAAGCAGTTGAGTACATATAGGAAACCCTAAATTGGGCTGTACTCACTATTGAGTACCCCACTGCAGGCTAGACAAACATAACATTCTGATACACCCCCATAGCCAAAGTGGGGTGTAATCAGCACAACAAGCAAGCAAAACACAAGCTCAGGGTGGATCACAATGTCACCACACAATCTGAGCACAAGTACAAGAAGCAACAGTTTAAAGTTCACAAATGTAAGCAAAGCTAGAGGCTATCACCGAGGGCAAGTGTGGAGGAGGAGGGACTATGAGAGGAGAGGAGGTAGTGGGCGGCAGCTGAAGCTGCTGGCACACGGCGCAACTGGAGCAACTGGCACACGGGCAACTGGAGCAACTGGCACACTGGCAACTGGAGCAACTGGCACACGGGCTACTGGAGTAACTGGCTCCGCGGCTAACTCTGAGCGGCAGGAGCAACGGACTCACGGGCGACTGGAGCAACTGGCTCACGGGCGACTGGCGCAACGGGCTCACGGGCGACTGGAGCTGCGGGCTTCACGGCGGCCACCCCCCTTCAACCTCCCCAAACTATCCCACCCCCCTTTCACACACCCCCTGCTGCACCCTAGGTTCACTCACACCCCACCCCCTAGCACCACTCCGTCGACTCCCACACACCCACCCCCCTCAGCGGCAGCTGCAGCAGTGGGAGACAGAGGAGGAGGAGGAGCAGGGGAGACCACACACCCGCCACCCCCTACTCGCCACCCCCAGACCCTAACACAGGGCAGGGCGGGACGGCGGGTAGGGAGGTTACGGGGGGGGGGGGGGGGGGCGACGCGCGGCCTCCCAGGGCGCCAAAACAGGCGGCAGAAGGGGCGACACTCACCCCCCCCCCCCCCCAGGCCCCCTCAGGTCGCCTCGACAGGCGACGGGAAAAGAGGGGGGGGCGGTGCACGGGTCCCCGGTGCGCCGCGACAGGCGACGGAGCATGGCCGGGGCGGGGCCGGGGCAGGGTCGAGGCAGGGCCGAAAGGGGCGGCGACGGGGCCGCAAGGGGCGGCGACGGGGCCGCTGGAGGCGGCGACGGGGCCGATAGGGGCGGCGACGGGGCCGCTAGGGGCGGCGACGGGGCCGCTGGAGGCGGCGACGGGGCCGATAGGGGCGGCGACGGGGCCGCGAAGGGCGGCGACGGGGCCGCTAGGGGCGGCGACGGGGCCGCGAAGAGGCCGCGAGGGGCCTCGAAGGGCGGCAACGGGGCCGCGAAGGGCGGCGACGGGGCCGCTAGGGGCGGCGACGGGGCCGCGAAGGGTGGCGACGGGGCCGCTAAGGGCGGCGACGGGGCCGCTAGGGGTGGCGCGAGGGGCCGTGAGAGGGGCCTCTAGAAGGGCGCGACGGGCCGCTAAGGGCAGGGGACGCGACGAGAGGGCGGCCCACGGGGCGCGCCTCGGGCAGGGGCGACTCGCGCTTCGGTCAGAAAAAAAAAAATTCAGTGGTGGGCCCAAGGAAGGAACCGTCCCAGGAGGGAACCAGCTCTATACTATGTGAAGAAATGAGGAATGAATGGAAGGAGGATAGTTTCATTAGCAAGCAGTTGAGTACATATAGGAAACCCTAAATTGGGCTGTACTCACTATTGAGTACCCCACTGCAGGCTAGACAAACATAATATTCTGACATTGCCTACCCCAATACGGTGACTTTCCAGGTCAGCATGTCACAGGACACCCCAAGACCGCGACCTCAACTTCCCTCCCAGCTCTTCTGCCAACAACCGCCTCCTTAGCACTGGAGGGGCTTATTTTGGTATCACGCTTCGAGAAACGAACCGCGGCGTTGAATTGAACGGCAACTTTTTTGGCCACGTCAATAGATTTTTTAGTTTTGTGTTTCCAATTGTGTTTCTTTGTTAGCCATTGAAACAGCCTACGTGTCTCAAATTGATGACATGGGATTTTGTCATCGTTGCAGATAATAGATTCCACATTAGGCGGTCCAATCCGAAGCTGGGGTTCGTTTGGGGGTCCAATCAAAAGCTGGGGATCGTGTAGTCAGCGAATTGTTTGAAACCATTGTAGTCCAGGGTGGCATGTTTGGGACCACCATCAAAACCAGCAAGGTGAAATTCCAACCGTTGACTGTTTTCACCGAATAGCGCGTCCCAACGATCTGCAGTTAGAAATTTCACGCATCTTCATGCTTCCTTCCAAATCCGGCTGTTCCTTTCGGAATTACAGTACGTTTCCGCAGCCTTCTTTGGCATGTTTGCCAGTCTAGCCTTCCTGCATCGTATGGTCGGATGGGGGAGCTTCGTGACCTCGACCATGTGACTGTCTGCAACGTAGCAAGTCAGCTTGCCTTTCAGGTACAACCACCATTCCTATGACGCTTTTGTATCAGCGACGTGATTCCTTCGATGTACGCGACGTTCATTTCGTTTCGACGCCGATTCTGACGCTGATGTTCGTTGTTTCACCATTCGCAGAACATCATTGAATTGTCGTGGATATGCATCTCTTAATCAATTTCGTCGCGACCCCAACTACGACGTGGCTGAAGCGACATCGATCTCCCCTACTTGTGACGGTGAAGGTCGAATGTATCACTTTTCACCACCACTCACCACAGAGCCTCCTCCCCCCGGTTAAGGTTTGGTAAAGGTTCGGTACAGGTGTGGTAAATGTTTTTTTGTTGGTACAGGTTGGTGGCTCTGTGGTGGGTTAGCACTTGTTTCTTCACTTCGCAAAGTCGTTATTTCCGTTGCGTGCTTTCTTCACTTCCATATACTAACTACATGTTTTGTCTACACTCGCAGGTTTTAATGGAGATTGCGAGGCGTACTTTCGAAGAGGAGCACCATCCTTTGGCGTTCTGCCATGCTTCATGGCGGACAACAGAGGAGAAGTTCCACGGCTGGTGAAGGTGAAGGTGAAAAGTATCAGTTTCAACCTTCACACTCCAGAGCCACCCCCCTGGTTGAGGTTAGGTGCAGGTCCAGGTCTGGTAAAGGTCCCCT